AGAGAAGGGTACAGGAGATCACACTCGAAGAAAGGAGACCTAAAGAAGATTTTGAAGAATTTACAAGAAGAAATGGTACAGGAGATCACACTCGAAGAAAGAAGACCTAAAGAAGATTTCAGAGAAGAAACGGTACAGGAGATCACACTCGAAGAAAGGAGACTTAAAGAAGATTTCAAAGAAGAAACGGTACAGGAGATCACACTCGAAGAAAGGAGACCTATAGAAGATTTTGAAGAATTTACAAGAAGAAATGGTACAGGAGATCACACTCCAAGAAAGGAGAGTTAAAGAAGATTTTGAAGAAGAAAGGGTACAGGAGATCACACTCGAAGAAAGGAGACTTAAAGAAGATTTTGAAGAAGAAACGGTACGGGAGATCACACTCGAAGAAAGAAGACTTAAAGAAGATTTTGAAGAATTTACAAGAAGAAATGGTACAGGAGATCACACTCCAAGAAAGGAGAGTTAAAGAAGATTTTGAAGAAGAAAGGGTACAGGAGATCACACTCGAAGAAAGGAGACTTAAAGAAGATTTTGAAGAAGAAACGGTACGGGAGATCACACTCGAAGAAAGAAGACTTAAAGAAGATTTTGAAGAATTTACAAGAAGAAACGGTACAGGAGATCACACTCGAAGAAAGAAGACTTAAAGAAGATTTTGAAGAATTTACAAGAAGAAATGGTACAGGAGATCACACTCCAAGAAAGGAGAGTTAAAGAAGATTTTGAAGAAGAAAGGGTACAGGAGATCACACTCGAAGAAAGGAGACCTAAAGAAGATTTTGAAGAAGATACGGTACAGGAGATCACACAAGAAGAAAGGAGATTTAAAGAAGATTTTGAAGAATTTACAAGAAGAAACGGTACAGGAGATCACACTCGAAGAAAGAAGACTTAAAGAAGATTTTGAAGAATTTACAAGAAGAAATGGTACAGGAGATCACACTCGAAGAAAGAAGACCTAAACAAGATTTCAAAGAAGAAACGGTACAGGAGATCACTCTCGAAGAAAGAAGACCTAAAGAAGATTTCAAAGAAGAAACGGTACAGGAGATCACACTCGAAGAAAGAAGACCTAAAGAAGATTTCAGAGAAGAAACGGTACAGGAGATCACACTCGAAGAAAGGAGACCTAAAGAAGATTTTGAAGAAGAAAGGGTACAGGAGATCACACTCGAAGAAAGAAGACCTAAAGAAGATTTTGAAGAAGAAAGGGTACAGGAGATCACACTCGAAGAAAGAAGACCTAAAGAAGATTTCAAAGAAGAAACGGTACAGGAGATCACACTCGAAGAAAGAAGACCTAAAGAAGATTTCAGAGAAGAAACGGTACAGGAGATCACACTGGAAGAAAGGAGACTTAAAGAAGATTTTGAAGAAGAAAGGGTACAGGAGATCACACTCGAAGAAAGAAGACCTAAAGAAGATTTCAGAGAAGAAACGGTACAGGAGATCACTCTCGAAGAAAGGAGACCTAAAGAAGATTTCAAAGAAGAAACGGTACAGGAGATCACACTCGAAGAAAGGAGACCTAAAGAAGATTTTGAAGAAGAAAGGGTACAGGAGATCACACTTGAAGAAAGGAGACCTAAAGAAGATTTTGAAGAAGAAACGGTACAGGAGATCACACTCGAAGAAAGGAGACCTAAAGAAGATATCAGAGAAGAAACGGTACAGGAGATCACACTCGAAGAAAGAAGACCTAAAGAAGATTTCAGAGAAGAAACGGTACAGGAGATCACACTCGAAGAAAGGAGATTTAAAAAAGATTTTGAAGAAGGAACGGTAAGGAGATCGCACTATGTGGGACGGCCCACATTCTTCGGAATTAGCACCAACGAATTCCAGGATTTACTCTCGAGGGAATCGGATGAAGACGTTGTGATCTACAACTCCACACTGATGGAACTCTGCCAGCTTCCAAATCGGATATCCTCTTGCGACGTAGTGCTGAAAGGTGAAGTTACACGCGGATAAACTTGACTAGATTAGTTAGTAACATTTTCATCTTGTTTCCCATTAATTTCCATGACGTTCCATGAATGATGTGTAGATCTCTTGAAGACGCGTGCTTGCATCCTTTGATTCGTATTATTCACAAGTATGGATACGTGTACCGGTGTGTGTGTGTGTGTACGTGCGCTCCTTGTTGTTCATCTCACACGGGATTATATCCTAAATTTTTCCTTTGTAAAAACAAATGAATTTCTCTAAAATTTGGCCGATCGGATTCGTTTCTTTGCCAACATTCTTTCATCAGGTCGTAAATTTCTTTCGGGCAATTTTTCGGTTGATGTAATAAAACCTGTAAGAAAAAGAAAAAGTAAAACGAGAAAACTCTTCTTTATCACCATCATCATCATCATTATCATTTATTTACTTACATTTTTTCCAGAATCCTGATATAGAAGACCGACGTTTTCAATGACTTTTTCGTCGCACATTTCTTCGTATGGTTGTTCTCTTGCGAATGTTAATATTTCCCACAGCGTCACGGCAAAAGACCAAACGTCACTCTTCGTAGTGAATTTTTCCAAAAGTATACTTTCCCACGACATCCAACGTATGGGTAACATAAGATCTCCATCTATTTGATAATAATCACCAGAATATAAACTTCTACTCATACCAATATCGGTTATTTTTATTTTGTAACCTGTTCCGACCAAACAATTCCTAAAAAAAAAAAAAAATTTGTCTCATTTTTTTTATTATTATTATAAAACGTCGATTTATCGATGAAACGATTCGAATTTAATTACGTTTTTTATTATTATTATTATTAAATAATTAATGCCTTACCTCGCGGCTAAATCTCTATGAACGAAATTTAACGATTCTAAATATTTCATACCGGAGGCGATTTGCGTCGCCATGTAAATAAGGCAGCCATAACTAAAAACAAAAAAAAAAAAAAATTTTTTTAAATGTATATATGAGTCGTGATTATAGAAAAATAATAATAATGATGATTATGATTACCTTAACGTTTTAGCATTAGTCGGTAAAGGAGACGTGGTATCAGCCACGTGATCCTGTAAAAATTGATATAAATCACCGTAATCCATATATTCAATAACGACAAATATGGGATCGTGGTCGAGTGAGGCACCTAAAACTCTAACTATATTCGAATCTTTTATTTTCGATAAAACTTTGACTTGTTGTCTGAACGTGTCTTTAGTCAAATCGGAAGATCCCGATCTTAACATTTTAACGGCGACCAAATTACACGACGACGGCGACGACGACGAATCGTATAAACAATCGCATTTTTCATTTAATTCGCATAATTTTACCTGAAATGATAAAAATAAAAATTTAATGACACGTCGTCGTGGAAAAAAAAGAAAAAAAAATTTCAATGGAAAACTAACGGAAAAGCATACGAAAAAAAAAAAAAAAAAACACAAATGGAATTTATAGAAATGAGGTCGCCGCGCAAAACGAATTTCAAAAAAAGGATATTAAACCTCATTTTTGCGGTCAATTATTTATAAATTTATTATTATTATATTATATTATTGTTATTTAAATCTGAAGAAGAGATAAAATAAAAAATTAAAAAATTACTTCTCCGAAAAGTCCGTAACCCAATTTTTCAATTGTTTTTAATTGAGTTTCGTTTATGTTAGGCACAGATATCTCGTCACAGCATCCTTCGTCTTCCGTTTCCGTTACGGGAAACTCGGAATCTGTGTTATTGTCTGAAAGGAGTCTTGAAAGTGATAAAGTTTGATATCCCGGTGAATTATTATTCACTCTCAAAAAACCTGAGTTTAAATCGTTATTTACGCTATTTATCGAATTCTAAAAAAAAAAAAAAAAAAAAAAAAGAGAGAACGTTAAAAAAATTAATTATTATTATTACTACTGCTATTCATTATTATTTAAAATTACCACTTTTTATTACTCCTACTACTACTACTACTACTAATACTCACTTTGCAAATTTCCGTTGTTGCATAATATTTTTCCATTTGTGGCGGCGGCGGTGGTATCGCCGGAGGTTTTGGAAAAAAATTTTGCAAAGGTGGTAACGGTCCTCTCATCATCGACGATAACGGAGATGGAGTAAAAGGTGGCGGTGGAGTTTTTATTATTTCCGGTACGGCATAATCTTCGTTTCTTCCTCCTACGACGTTTGTTTCGTCTTAAAACAATTAAAAATATATATTTATTTTGATTTACGGTTCAACAGTTTTTTGTTTTCGAAAAAAAAGCAGGGGAGGGGAAGGGGGCGAGGAGAAAAAAAAAGCGGGAAAAGGGAAGGGGGCGAGGAGAAAAAAAAGGGGAAGAAGAAAATTAAAACTAATAATCGGAATGACGTTTTTTCGTCTTACAAATAATTAACTTTAAAACAAATGACTTTTTTTTTTATTTTAAACCTTTCTTTAACCTCTTTCTCTTCTTCTTCTGTACCATCTTCTCCTTCCCTCCTCCTCCTGTTGCGCCTATCACAAATTTTTTTAATTTTAAAAAACGACGACGGGGTAAAAAAAAAAATGCGTTAAAAGGTTTTTTTTTTGGTTAATCTATCTAAAATCTGTATTTAAAAAAAAAATAAAAAGTGGAAGAGAGAGAGGAGGGGGTGGGAAGACGGGGCGATAAGAAAATGTGTGACGTCATAAAAATATCCTTATCACTCACCAACATATGACGGTAATTCCGTCGGAGTTTTTATAGGTAAACCTCCGCATTCCAAAGCTTTATTCCTTCTCGGCGTTAAACCCGCGTACATGTTCATGTTGAAAGGTTCTTGGTAAATGACTGCCTTATCTTCCGGTTCTTCGACGGATACCTGACCATATACGTGACCATTAGCATTCACGTTTACTCTCATCTGGAAATCCTAAGGATGGTTTATAAAGGGTTTAAAAGGTCGGGTAAAAAACGAAAAAATAAAATAAAATAATAAAACAAAAATCCAAAAAAATAAACTAAATCAAAAGCAAAAAAAAAAAAATCATACAAGACGATGATGATAAAATAATAATAATAATAATAATAATAATAATAATAATAATAATAATAATAAATCGAACGGAAAAAATTAAATTAACAAAATGGCGGAAAGTAAAGGCAGTAGAACATTTGTGAAGGGTGTGTGCATGTGTCCTTTTGTTGCAAAAAAAATTTTACCTTCATATTTATGGTAACGCCTTTTCCATTAGGTCCGGTGGCAACGAAACCACCGGGTAAAACGGTATTCGATGTACCACCCAATGCATTCCTTAATCTTCTATTTCTAAATACTATAAACATGATGGCAGCAACGAGTATGAGTATAACCGTTGATAAGGCTCCGATAACCAATGCTATATATTGTTTTGGCTCCGACGAATTATTAAAACTCGATGAGGGTGGAACTAAAATATTTTTACAAAAAAAAATTATTCATACGAAATTAATACCCAGTAATAATAGTAATAATAATAATGATAATAATAATAATAATAATGCTAGGCCGTCAAAAAAGTGGAAAAAAGAGTAATCAGAAGAAACGCAGGTTCGCAACGCAGACCGAAAAATTGTTGTACGGAAATTTAAAAGAATTGAAATCGTTCGAATCAAAAAAAAAAAAAAGTAAAACCGGAAACGATTACAATTGTCGTGGGAGCAGTAGAAATCACACCCACCACAACAACCCCGAAAAAAAAAAATTCGATAAGGATTATCGGATACCGTGGAGGAAAATTTCGTTACAATAAGAAGAATGTACGGCCCACATTTTGACCAAAATATTTTTATAAATGGGGCACCACAGAGATTCGAAATTCTATTAAAAAAAAAAAAAATCGATTCTAAACTAAAAAAATTTTCCGAGCGTAAAAATTTTAATAATAATAATAATTTTGAGTGCAATAATTCATTAAAAAAAAAAAAAAAAACAATAGCAGACGAATTATATGGTGCGACAATGAAAATCATAATTTAAAAAAAAAAAAAAAATTTATTTAAAAAAAGAGGAAAAAGAGAAAGAAAAGAAAAAGGAAAAGGAAAAATGAAAAATAATACAAAGGAAAAAAAGGAAATGATAAGAAAAGAAAATGAAAAATGATAAGGGATGAAGGACAAGTAATGAAAAACATAAAAATCTTCTTCTTCTTCTTATTCCTATTCATCATTAAAAGTAATTCAATAAATTTTTATGGTTTTCAAGGTCAAACCGCCTTCTTGACCTTGAAAATTATTTAAAAAATTATGTCATCAAATTAAAACCGCCCCTTTCCGCCCAGCAAGAGGAAGGGCAAAAAAAAAATCAAAAAATACGACAAGTATATATAAAAATAAACAGTGGTACCAACAACGATTAAACAAATAATTTATTTTTAAAATAATCGTCGACATTTTTTTTTTAAACAGCAGACGACAAAATGGCGATTTTTCATTATTATTATTATTATTATTATTATTATTATTATTATTATTATTATTATTATTTTTGTTGTTGTTGTAATTTTGTTTAAAAATAAATTTTATTTATTTATTTATTTATCCGTTAATATTTTTTTCCCTCCCTTCCTCCGTCCCTCCCATTCTTTATCGTCTGCATTTCCTTTTTTAATATATTTAAATTAAAGAAAAACGAATGAAAAAAAAGGAAAAAAGGAAAAATTATTTAAATTAAATTTTTTTAAAAACCCAAAAAAAAAATTTTGCCGGAAAATTTTAAAATCGATTTTAGTTAGCAAAAAAAAATTTTTTTTTTTAATGAAATCCCACTCATTCACTCGCTCATTCATTCAATCAATCAATCAATCTTTCTTAATTTCATTACAATTATTATCATTTTTAAAACAATTCAATTTAAATTTCTTTTCTTTTTCTTTCTTTCTCTTCTTTCTTTCTTTCTTTTAAATCAATTTTATTTTAATTTAATTTTAATCCTATTACACTTATATGAGTAGTAACATTTTCTTTTTTTTTAAAATTAAATTAAATTAAATGAAAAACAACAAAGGAAAAACAAAAGATAGAAAGAAAATAATAATAATAATAATTTAATTTGATTTTTCCCTCTTCCCTCGCGCGTTATGACGAAAAACGGTATGGGCGGAGGGAAGGGAGGGGAAGGGAGGAGAAAAAAAGAGAAAAAAAAAATTTTAATTTAACTCACCGATAAACTGATTGTGGTCAATTTTACTCGGGGTTGTTTGTACATCATCCCTTTGTAGTGGATATCCTTTGTTCACTTCGTTACCCTCGAAAGGAAAATTGACGACGCCATTTTCCGTTTCCTCATCGCTATAATTACCATTTACTATCACTGTAAATGAAAATTTCATCAATGTTATTATTAATTTTTTTTAAAAATTGATTTGATTCGATCAATTTCCTTTTTTTCCTATTTATTTAACTCGTTTAAAAAATTCAAAAAATTTTTCGCCGCCATTTTGTTATTAACAAAAAAAAAGGAAAACTTTAATAAGATTCATCATCAATTACGACAAAGTTCCATGACAGGTTAGACTTATCATAAGATAAGAAAAAAAGAAACTTTCATAATAATAATAATAATAATAGTAAATTCTCGTTTCTCATATCTCTTTATCGTTATATTATTCTCCGCAATGAAAATAATAATAATAATAAAATTCTACGACAAAATATTTTCACGTTATTTTTTTCTTATTAAAAAAAAAAATAATAATTATTATTTAAATTTCGAATGTCGCCATTTTTTTTGTTTTGTAATTTTTTTTCTACTGACAAATGACGTCATAAAATATTTTTAAAAAAATGGTGGATTTATAAGCAATTAACGAAACAGCAATTAACGAAATGGCGGCAGCAGCAGGAAAAATAATTTAATAATAAAAATTTTTTCTGCATTTAAATTTATTTTTTCTTGTTGAAAAAAAAAAAAAGGAAAGAAAAGAATGAAAAAAAAAATCACTTAAAAAAGGAATTGAGAGAAAAAGAGAGAGAGAGTGGGAGAGAGAGAGGGGGGAAAAGGTTTTTAGAAAATAAAATAAAAAATTCAAATAGCAGACGATAGGAAGCCGTCTATTGGCCTATTTGACTTTCAGCATCCAATTTCAGATTGCCAGACGTGAAAATCTTATAAATTGCTTCTTTTTTTTCCTTTCCTCTCTCTCATCTTTCATTTCTTTTCCACCTTCCCTCCCCCTTTCCCTTCCTTTCCCCTCCCCTCTCCTCTCGCTCGTTTATTTATTCTATTTATTGTTTATTCTCCTCTATGATGTTGTTTACCTTTTAATATTTATTTTTCATTACTCTATGATTTTTTTATTTTTTTTGTTGGCGGTAAATTTATCGGGTTTTTAGCGGAAGGGAAGGGAAGGGGTGGTGTAAGGGAGGGTAAGGTAAGGGGGGAGAGAGAGTGAGAAAATCTTACCAGAATCAAATTCGACTTCGCTAATCAATATCCATCGATTTGCAAAATAAAGCTCTAATTTGACGAACCTTCCCAACGTGTTATGTAGTTTTATCGTCACGCTTCTAGCATGTTCTATGACGAGGTCTGGAACGTAGGAATAATGTACGGGCATGCTGGAAAATTTATTACCACCGATGCTGAAGTAAACGAGAGCAAGAGAAAATACCTGAGGCAAAACAAAAATCAAAAAAATATTAACCCACGACGTACGATACCTGTGACGTCAAATAAAATTCGTTAAAAAAAGGGAAAAAAAAACTTTTTTCAAATTGTTTAAACAAATAAAGAAAATGAAAATTATATCGAAAAAAAAGAAAGCAGAAGGAAAACGAAACCATTTTTTTTTCTTTTGTTATAAATTTATTATTGACAAAATAATAACAACAATAAAATTTTATTTATTAATATCGAAGTTTAAAAAAAAAAAAAAAACCGACGGAAATTGAAAAAAAATTTTTTTTTTTTTAAAAACTTTTTATTTATCATTATTAATAATAATAAAAATAAAATTATTGGTTAATAATAAATATAAATAATAAAAGTTTATTTTTATAAATAAAAAAAAAAGTTTAAAATCAATTTTAAGCAGACGGTGGAACATTTTTTTAAAAAAAAAAAATTTATTAGATGCTTCATTATAATAATACTTTAAATACCGCGCGGGGTATTAACTGTATATTTATATATAATTATATTCGAAACGAGGAAAATTTTATAGAATTATATGACGTCACGAGGAAAAAAAAATTTGACGTCATCATCATGGCAAAAAAAAAAAATAATAATATTAATTAAATCGGATTTTTTACCTGTACGTCTTTACTGTACATGTTATTCGAATGTATGTGCATGGCTGAAAAATTTCTAACTTTATCGAACTCGAAAATTATTTCAACTGGACGGCCGGCCATACTCGGTGTATCGTTTTTCCAACCGACCCATTCGAAACCTATAAATAAATAAAATTATAAACTAATTAATAATAATAATAATAATAATAAAAACTAAAAATAAATTTCATAGATTCTAATCCAAAAAATATTTTTTGGAGTCGAACACGTTTTTTTTTTTTCTGTTGTAAATTTATATTTTAAATAAAACGATGTCGATGACGTCGTCGACGACGACGACACATTTGCTGTAGGGAAATAAATAAATAAAAAAAAATTCAAATAAGAAAAGACAAAAAAAAAACAAAAAAAAAAGAAAAATTAATTAGTTTCCCGTTATAAAAAAAAAGGTAGCATCGGAAACGATTTTCTATTTTTTTTTCAATTTTCCCGACCTTTGACCCTTAAATTTTTATCTCCTTCCATTTCTCCATTCTTTTCGAAACTTTCTTTTCTTTTGGATGTGTTTTTCTTTTTTTTTTCTTTAACTATTGCTAGACTCGACACTTTTTTTTTGTTTTATTTTGCTGAGCTTTTAATACTTCTTTTCCTTAACGCCTGCCCCTCCCTTTACCCCCCCCAAAAAAAAAGAAAACGATTAATCGTAGTTTTTCATTCAATCTTTCATCATCATCATCATCTCTTTTTCAATTTTTTCTTTTAACTCATCGTTTTACACGCAGGTAAATTTTTCAATCAAAAGTTTTTTACATTCACCTTTTTCATCTTCCAACTCATTCACATTTCAGAAATTCATCTCCCGAACCCTCACACCCTCACCCCATTTTATTCAAAACAAAAATTTAATAGAATAAATACACGACCAATTTTTCGTTTACTTTTTGTCATTTTCAAAATTGTGCGTTTAATAAAAATAAATTTTTTTCCTTTTTTTCTTGGGGAGGAGGGATGGCCGCGGCGGCGAGGTCGGGGGGCCGTCACACAATATTTTTTTTTTCTTTTTACCTTTTAACTTAATTAAACTTCAACAAGTTTCATTACTTAAACGTTAATTAACACCTTTAAAAAAAAAAACCTTTTTGCAAGTCAAAACCACCATTAATAATAATTTTATTCAACAAACTATTGATATTTTTTCAAAAGAAGTTGGATAGTGCGCGTGTTGAAGAAGAAAGGGGGAGGGGAGGGCGGAAAAAGGAAGAAAGGTGGGAGAATGTTAAAATCCCAAAAAAAGAAAAATAACTAAATAAATAAAAATAAAAAATAAACAAATAGATTATTTTTATTTAAACGACTCCCCACGCTTTGGAATAAATAAAGTGATTCATTGTATTTTTCGTTTAAAAAAAAAAAAAAAAAAAAAATCTCGTTAATGAACGTGGAATTTAAATAAAAACGTTTAATTTTTTCGATTCTTTTAATGACCCTCCTATTTTCCCCCGCCTCCCTCCCATCTCCTTTTCCTTCTTCACCCCGCCCCCCCTTGAAAAACGTTTTTTACCCGGCCGAGTAAATTTTTTTTTTTTTGGGAAAAACTAATTTTCAGTAACTTTTCCTATAAAAACTTTACTGTCGAGTTGTTAAAAAAGAATTATCGTTAAAAAAAAAATTTTTTTCTCTCTCTCTCTTTCTCTCTTCCCCAGTCACTCTCTTCCTCTCTCTCACTCTTTCTATCTATCTATCTATAAATATAGAGAATAAAGTTAAATTATAGTCGATTTTTATAGAATATAAAGTAAAATTTTATTACTCTCTTGTTTATGTAATGCAATGAAAAATAAAATAAGTTTAAATAATTTACAACAATTATTTTATTTCTCTCCTTTTTTTTCGTTTTAAATTAATCACCATTTTGTTTTACGCTATAAAATAATAATTTTTTTTTAAATATAGCTTTGCTATAAATTATCGCTATAAAGCTATAAAATATTGTATTCATTTAAATAATCAGGATTTTTTTTTAATGAAAATTCATTTTCCTATCGTTTTCCTCTAAAAAAAAAAAAAAAATAAAAGGGGAAAAAAAATTTTTTTTTATACTATAAAAATTCATTTCCGGTTACAAAAAATAATAATAAAAATTTTAAAACCTCAATGTAAGAGAGAAAAAGGTTAAAAGGGAAAAAGGTTATTATTAAGTCACATACGAAAAACACATGCGACTTTTCCTTTTTTTTTTCCAAAGTTTAAAAGAATAGCCGCCAAGAGGATGCCAATAATCGTTACGAATCAAATCTTGTTTTAATAATAATAATAATAATAATAATAATAATAATAATAATAATAATAATAATAATAATACCTTTTCCTTTTCCTCGTACGTCCAATCTAAAATTATCCGCTCCTTTTTCACCATCTTCCAATTGTCCTAAACCGCCATACAATCTCCCATTTTCTTCTATTCCGTCGTACGTTTGATCGGTTAAATCGACTTCGTTTCCTCTTTGCACGCCCTGATTCATCGAATAACTCACGAGACCATCTGTTGATTGAATAAAAAGAAAAAAAAAAAATTTTATACGGTTGATCGCGGTGAGGGGGAAGGAGATGAGGGGAAAGAAAAGGATGCTGGCAACAGCGTGGGTTGCTTTTACGAGAAAGATTAAAAGGATGATGGGGGGGTCGAAGATGATGATGATTGGTACTACTCACATGGTGATAAACAACCCAATAATTCGACTCTCATGCAAACGGTTCTTAAATGATCGCTATAAGGTACGAATCTTATTTTCCGCGTTCTGATTGGTGGATCAACAATTTGAGTTTCTTCCGTGTAAGTGTTTGAATTTCCATTTAATATCTGAAAAACGTAACCAGAAAAAACAAAACCTTTTATTTTATTTTTAATATTTCGTTGGTTTGTTTGTTTTTTTTTGGGGGGTGGGCCGAGAGAAGGCTTTTATTATTATTTGAAATTATTGTCTCAAGGGTGACATTTATATTTATTATAAAAAAAAAACAAATGAATACGGTTATGCCAACCTTGGAAATTGATTTCTCCAATGAAAAAAAAAATAAAAAAAAAAAAAAATTTTCGGTTTTTGATTTTGTTTTGTCTTTTTTTTATTATTAATAAATAAAAAAATTATTTTTATTAAAAACAACAACAAAAACAATCATTAACAATATTAACATTATATATATATATATATAACAACAAACAAACAAACAAACAAACACGTGAAAAACTTTTTAAATTAAAAACTTTTTCCCTTTTTTTTCTTTTTAAATTTATTTCACTTTAACCGAAATAATAATAATGATAATGTTAATAATAATAATGATTTAATCGGTTGATCGTTTAAACAAATAAATAAATAAATAATAATAATAGTAATTAAAATGAAAATAAAAACTCATCGTACGAAACCGGAAGATGTATTAAGAAAAAAAAAATTAAAAAAACTAATAAAATCGTTTTTTCCTTTTTTTTTCCTTTTTTTCATTCATTTTTCTTAAAGAAAAAAAGGAAAATAAAGAAAGCAAAGGAAAGAAAAGGAAAAAAAAGAAAAACCTTTTAATTTAATAGCATGCTTAAGTGTCCTTTTTTTTTAAATCTATTACGTAACACACAAAATAAAATAAAAAGTAAACACACTCGAATGAAAAAGATACAAAAGAAAAAAAAAAATTGTTTTTTTTTTTTTTTAAAACGATTACGTCATATTTAAATAGATGCAAAGGATAAAATGACGTCATCAATTAAAAAACGATTAATAAAGAGTGCGAAATTGCAAAAAAAATAAATACCGAGAAAAATGAAAACTCTTTTTTTATCCTTTTTTTTTTTAAATTTTCCTTTTGCTTTCGCTTTCGTTTTTTTTTCTTTTTTTGAACGAGGGGTCAGGGTAAAGGGTTGAAAAGGTGAACGATCGTGGCATTAGAACTTCACGACGTCCTTTTTTCCTTTCTTTCTTTCTTTTTTTTTTTTGAGTTTAAAAGACACACACACGCCGTCAAACGATTTTTTTTCTTTGTGGAAAGAGAGAGAGGAGGAAGGGAGGGAAGGAGGAGAGGAAGAAAGAGAGAGAGAGAGAGAGAGAAAAAAAAAGAAAATTAATTATAAAAAATTAAAATTTTTTTTTTTAGGTAAAAAAAAAAAATCAAAATAATTTCCGGGAAAATTTGTTGTTATTAAAATGCTAATAATTTTTTCTTACTCTCCCCCCTCCTCTTCGCTCTCCCCCCTCCTCTTCGCTCTCTTCCCCCCTCTTCCCGCCCTATTTCCAAGCCTTTTTAAAAATGTGTTTTAATAAAAAAAAACCGGAGAAAGAGAAAAAAAAAGAAAATTTGGCTTATTTAAAGTAGCAGCAGCAGTAGCAGCAGCAGCAGTGGTAGTAGTAGTAGTAGTAGTCGTAGTAGGAGGACGAGGAGGAGAAGGAGGAGGAAATGAATGTTGGTAAAAAAGCGAAACAAGTAAAACGTGATAAGAATGAATTAAAAAAAAAAAAAATTTTCTTCTTCTTCTTCGGGCAAGTTCCAAAAAGAGAGAGAGAGAGAAAATTCGTCGCGTAATATGTTGTGTCAATGTTATTTGTGAAAGATATTTTCACGAGTCTGGAGTCTAAATAACCTGACGACTCACTCCAGTATTTTCCAACCATCCGACGCCTTCCTTCCTTTTACCCAAAACTTTCATTTTTTTTCTTTTTACTTTTCCAGTAGAGAGAGAGAAAAAAAAAAGAAAACTCATTTCGTATTTAACTCAGCTATATTGACTCTTTTTTTTTCTCCAGGAAAGTTTTTCCAAAAAAAAAAAAAGTCTTGCATATTAGTCTTCCAACATGAAAGACAATTTTAGCATTTTTTTTTTTATTTTATTTTATTTTTCACTACAAATTCCAGACATTTTTTTTTCCAGGAGAAAGAAAGAAAGAAAAAAAGAAGGAAAGAGAGAGAGCAAAAAAAAAACGTGCTTCTTTAAAAAAAAAAAAAAAAATGACTTTGTCACTCTTTCCTTTTGATAGTTTTCATAATAATAATAATGATTATACAAAGAGGAAGGGAAAAAAAAGAGAGGGATAGGAGGAAGAGGGAAGAAGGGGCAAAAGGAAATTCATTCGTACCAACTTAAAAATAATTTATCAAATAAATTTTCACGTTAATTTTCTTCCTTTTTTCTTTCTTTTTTTTTTAACTGGAAAAAAAATTTTCGTGTCATTTTGAAGAAAAAAAAATTTTGCTGTCGTATCCACCTTGCTTCGTTATTATTATTATTATTATTATTATTATTATTATTATTATTATTATTATTATTATTATTATTTGAATTTTTGAGCCACGCCCATCTTTTTTTTTTGTTTTTTTTTTCATATTTTAATTTTTTGTACGTCATTTTTAATAATTAAATTTTTAAATATCGAAATCGATTTTTTTTTCTTTTTTGTAAATCATTCGCGTCGATTATATTATTACTGTCGTTTTGCTGCCGTGCTGTCGCGTTTTAGGTTTTTTTTAAATATTAAAACTAACACGATTTTGTGTGTGAGGGAAGAAAAAGAAAAACTTGAAAAAAAAACACATTTTAAATTTACGTCGGGTCAAAAGAAAAAAAAAAAAAAAAATAATGTGCACGGAAAATTAATACGTAAACGGACGGAAACGGCGGAAACGTACGACGAACACGTCGGTGCATAAAACAAAACGAAACGAAACGAAATTTATGTTAGTATAACTGTTAGTAGTACATTTGTTTCATATTTATTATTATTATTATTATTATTATTATTGTTTTCATAATTTGCAAAAGAGAGAAAGAGGGATGGGGGAGAGGGGGGGGAAATACAAAAATAATTTTTTTTTTTTTTAATAATCTTGCTTTACCAAAAAAAAAAAAAAAACAAATTTTCACGATGACAACTTTTCATCCATTAAATTAAAATTTATTAAAAAAAAAAAAAAAATTGTTTTAATATTTTTTATTAAAGAGAAACGGAAGAAAAAAGACGACGACGATTTTTTTTTTTTTTTCATTCAGAAAATTTTTAAAATCCACAGCTGTCAACATAAAAACAAAAAAATAAAAAAAAAAAAAAATTTCTTGTTTTATTTCACCGTGAATTGGAGGGGGGAGGGAGAGGGAGAGGAGGAGGAGGAAGAGGGAGGGAGACGATGCCATAAACCGCGGATGCCAATAACTTATTTCGTAAAACCATTTTTTTCCTTTTCCTTCTTTTTTTTTTTTTGGCCGTCTAATATTTATTATAACTCGTAAACATGTCCGACGTAAAAAGAATACACGCAGCAGCTGCCGACGTTAAGGTTATTTAGGCTAGTTTCGTTACTTTTTTTTGGGGGGGGACCAGGTTTGACTCTTTCTTTCCTAACCCCATAATAAACTTAACAATTAAATCCTCAAAAAATACTTAATATTGATAATAAGAAAGTGAAATTCATTTTATTCGTTATTATGCTACCTGCAAACAGGGTTACCAACTTGAATGAATTAAATTTAATCGTTATGATATCTGCAAACAGGATTACCAACATAAAAAAGTTCGAATCTTACTTTTAAAAAAAAAAAAAAAACATCAAAACGAATGGGAAATTTTTGTTTACATTATATTCGGAATGTTCAACATTAGATTTAAGTTGGCAGTACCGATCTGATTTTTCAATTTTATATATTGATGTACATTCATGCTCGCGTATGCTTATGTATAAAAAGGAAATTATTAATTTACGGGATTTTTTTCCCGTTTTTTTTTCGATTGATCGATCTATCGATTAATAAATAAATAAATTTCTTACCTCGGATTTATTTCTACTTTTCCATCGACTCCATTTTGACGTTCCAGGTTTCCAATAATCCAACATGAATTTTTCCGCGTATTCAAGTCCTTTTCCATTTCCAAACCTTCCCTGCGTTTTTGTACCCGTTATCACGTAAAGGTCGTGTAAATTAATTTCTAAATATTCGTGAGCTTCTTTATCGATCATTTTTTTCGGACACCAAGCTCCGCCATTTTTATCATTTTTCAACCTGAAATTATTAAAAAAAACTATCGTGACGCCATTTATTTACTTATTTATTTATTTTAACTTTTTATTACATATAATTAAATAAAAAAAAATTTTCGATAACGATGATGATGATAATAATAATTTTATAATAAAGGGTTTCCAATTTTTGTTTTTTTTTTTTTTATAAATGAGGAGAAAGTCGAAATGTCAAAAAAGTAAAAAAGGAAAAGCAAAAACAACAACAACAACAACAGTAAGACAAACTAAAAACCAAAACTTGCGGCTTTACCCTCCCTTTTCATTCCCCCGTCAGGTTTCTTTAACTTGAGCTTTCAATTTTCCAAAATTTTGATAAATTTTACTAATAATAATAATAATAATAATAATAATAATAATGGTAATAATAATACCGATAATAATAATAATAATAATAATAATAATAATAATAATAAAAATTTAAAAATTTCCCCGTTTAATTACCCTACAGAGATTTTTAAATTCGTGTGTGTGTGTTTTATTTTATAAAAATTTATAGCCGACGAAATTTTTTTATTTTTTTATTTTTATTTCGTTCCTCCTCCACCGCCCCCTTCCTACTCCTTTCCTCTTTCTTCCTCCCCTCTCTCATCCCGCCATTCGGACTTGCCCAAAAATAAAAATTTTTTAATCGATAAATTTTAGTTTTTTTTTTTTTTAATAATTTAATTTCGCCGCCATTTTTGTTTTTTTTACACCTACGTAATCACTATAAATGTCGCTATGATAAACATTTAGTTTGTTGAACATTTTAAAAAGACGATAATTTTTTTTTTTAACAAAAATTATAGCGCTATATTTTATTTCGTTTGCCGACGACAGATACGTCATCGATAACTTTTTTTTTTTTTTTCATTTTAATTAAAACGAAAAAAAAAACGAATTGTATTACAAATCATCATTAAAAATAATTATTTAATAGCGCTATAAATTTTATTAGTTTATTTATATATAAAAATTTTATAGTTAAACCCGCACTATAAGTACTATAAACCAAATTTTACAAGTTTTTTTTAAAGAAAACCATAATTAAAAATTTAAATATTTCCGCCATTTTTTATTTATTTATATTATATTAATATTGTTTGTTTTTTTTAGTGTTTGGTATTTATATCTTTCTTTTTCTCGGCTTTATTGTGCGTGTGCGTGTGTATTTTATGTATTAAATTTAAAGTGACAACTTTTATCGCTTTCCTTTAATCTAACCGATTCCACTAGTTTTTATCCTTTTTTTTCTTTTTTCTTTCTCTTTTCTTTCCCGCTCTCTCTTTCTCTCTCGTTCCATCATTTCACTTTCTTTTTATACTTTCCCTTTCTTTTATACTTTGTTTTCGTGATCATGCATAGCCGACTTAATTTAATTTCTGATTTTAAAAAAAAAAATGGCGAAGATTAAAACATTTCAAGGTCAGGTTATTAAAACGAATCAAAAAGAGTTTTCAGTTGTGTTTAGTAAGGCACAAAACTTGAATCGAAATTTGATTTTTATTATTAACTTTTTAAAAATTTTCTTTTATTTTCCTTCTCCCTTTTCGCATGTAAAAAAAAAATGAAATGAAATGAAAAAGTCAAAAAATTAAAAAAAATTTCAATTACGGATAATGTGAAAAAACAAAAAAAGGGAGAGAGAGAGAGAGAGAGAGAAAGTGAAAGAGAGGAAAAAGAATAAGAAAAAAAGTTTTAAACAAAGTTCAAAAAAAAAAAGAAACAAAATTTTGGAAAAATAATAAAAAACAAACAACAATTTCTACTCTTTATTACCATTTCTCTTCCTCTTCCTCTTCCTCTTCCTCTTCCTCTCTCTCTCTCTCTCTCTCTCTCTCTCACTCTCTTTCCAAAATAAAAATTAAAAAAAAAACAAACCAACGTATTTTTTTTTAATGACGTCATTATTTTTTTCTCTTTTATTTCATTTTTATATGAAACTATTTAAAAAATCAACCCGACGACCCAATTTTTTCTCTTCCCCTCTCTGTCTCTCTCCCCTCCCCCTTTCTCTTCCCCCTCCCTCTCTCTCTCTTTTTTTTTTTTCGTAAATTTAATTCACTCATTTAAAATTCAATTGAAATCTTTTTAATTTTCATTTTAAAAATATGGACGATTGTATAGTTAAAAGAAAATTCTTTTGGTAAATTTTTCTCCATTTTTTTTTCTTCCGTTTAAAGTAATAATAATGAAAAATCGAAATTTAACAGAGAGAGAGAGAGAGAGAGAAAGGGGGACAAGAAGAAAAAGTGAAGAGAAGAAGAAGAGGAAAAAAAAACGAAAAAAAAAGGAATGAAAAAAAAAAATTTTTAATTTGATCATTAAAAGCTCAAGAAAATGTCCTCGTCGGAATTTTTTTTTTTTTTTTTTTTTTTTACATATTTAACTTACGAAATCGTTTTTGATCCTTTTAAAATTATCATCAACAGCTTTTTAACCTACTAAAAAAAAAAAACTACAACCATAATCATTTCCTTCTAGCAAAAAGATTTTTCCTCCAGCTTTATTCCAGATAAAAAAAAAAATTTTTTTTCTTTTCATTCTCTCTTTTTCTCTTCTTTATTATAAATATATATTTTCATTTCATTTCATTTTTATTTTATTTTACTACTCTTCGGAATAAAAATAATAATAATAATAATAATTATTATTATTATTATTACTATTTTTTTCTTTCTACAACAACCACTACATTTTCCAAAAGATTAAAAAAAAAAAAAAATTATTTTCTAACTGAATAAATCGTGTATGAGCTCTCACGCGGACGAGTGATTTATATTATTATTATTATAATGACGTCACGATGATAATAATAATAATAATAATAAAAATAATAATAAGGGAATAAATAAATTATTAATGAGATGATTATTCGTTACAATGGCGTAGAGACAATATGAAGAACACACACACGCACACGAACGCACACGAACCAATTTTTTTTTTTTTTTAATTTAAAAACCGTAATTACACGTTGAGTTTTACTATTATTACTATTATTATTATTATTATTATTCATAATAACTCGACCTTTGACCTTGAATTAAAATCCGATGACTGTAATTTGTAAAGAAATAAATAAATAAACAAACAAACATTGTGCACGATAATAAACCCCTAAAAAAAAATTTTTTAAATTTAAATATAGATTCGAAAAAAAAAAGATAATTCACAGCTGCCAACCTAAAATTTTAAAAGCAGACGACGTTAAAAAAAAAAAGAGATGATAGTTTTTTTTATTATAAATACGGTTCGAATAATAATGATGATGATGATGATGATGATAAACGTCGTATTAATCACGGGTAAGTCATAACTTCGTAAGAAGAGATTAAAAGAAGAAGAAGAAGAATGATGAAAGAAAACGTGGCAGCAGATTTTACGAAATGACTAAATCCTGAGAAGATTTTCTCTTCATCTTTTCTCCCTTTTTTTTTTTAAAAAAACATTTTATTATTATTTACAAAATGTATTATTATTATCATTTTTATTTTACAATACGGATACGATTAGGGGTTAATCTAAATGAAAAAAAAAAAAAAATTGAAACACGTCGTGTCAAGAGTAAAAGCAAATAATAATAATAATGATAATAATTTTCTTTTAAATATTTTGTCGTCATAAAAAAAGAAAAAGCGGAAATTAAAATTAAAAAAAAAAAAAAGAATTAGAAAGAGAGAGATAGGAAGGATTTTTTTTTTGGTTAAAAAATTAGAAAAAGGATGACCGGGATTTAAAAAAAAAAGAACCGGAAACTGATGATTCCCATAACATAACATAACATAACTGAGAGATAACAAAGTGTGGAATTATCTGTAGAGAGAATTTCCGGGTTTTCCCCAAATGCATACAAATCGTTTCAACGTGATAAAAACCGGATTTTAAAAAAGGAGATGATGATGATGATGATTATGTGTGTGTGTGAGATAGAGAGAGAGAGAGAGAAACGGAGAGTGTGTATGTGGTTCGGTCGAGATTGACTTGAGCCCTTTATAACCAAAATGTAAATTATTGTAAAACCGGATGTGGCCTTATCTCGTACGTACCGTTGGAAATTTTTATTATTAAATTAATGTTTTTTTAATTTATGTTTTTTGTTTAAAATACACTTTCATCATCATCATTATCATCATCATTATTATTATTATTATTATTATTATTATTATTATTACTGTTTATATATAATTACGCTAGAGTAGCCAAAAAAAAAAAAAAATTTTCGTGCTGTTGTGTTTTTTCTAAATTTTTATCTTTTTTTTTGTTATTTGTTTTTTTTTTTTTTATACATTATTACCAACCTTTTTGAATTACCAACCTTAACAAAAAAAAAAAAAATTTCTTTTCATAACATAAACAATATGATTTGTTTTTATTAAGTTTAATCCACTCATCGACATAAACATTTAAGGATTTTTCACGTCATAGAGTAAAAAAAAAAAAAAAAAAATTATGGATGGTCAAAGTCAAAAAATTTCAAAAAAAATTTTTTCCACGTAAAATATTTTCCTTTTTTTTTTTTGGGGGGGGGGGGTAAAAATTTAATTTATTTAATAATATATATAGGAGAAACGAAGAAATTTCAAAAAAAAAAAAAAGTATCGAAAGGATTTTCATCTCTCTCTCTCATGCTGAGCATACCGACACACACACTCACGCACGCACGCACGCAGGCTTCGTTCGTTTCGTCCAATTTTTTTTCTCTCTTTAAATCCGCAAAAAAAAAAAAATTTTTTTTTTATCACCGAATAAAAATATCAATTGAAACCCTTACAAGAGAGCAGACATTCATACAACCGGAAATGATTTTTTTTTTTCTAAAACCGACGCTAGTCAATGGTAGCATTTCTATCTAAATGGGAATAAAAAAAAAAAAAGCTTTTGGTTGAATCGTATAAAAAAAGATGAAATTTATCCTTCTCATCTTTGCTCTTCCGGTTTCTTGTGACGGCAAAAAAAATAAAAAATAAAAAAATAAATAAAAACGAATAAAAAAAAAAAATTTACGAAAAAAAATTCGTGGAGAAAAAAAAATGGCGGATAATAAGAGAGAAAAAAAAATTTTCTCTTTCTCTCTCTCTCTCTCTCTCTCTCTTTCCCCCTTCCCTTTCTCTCCCCCTCTCTCTATCTTATTATGCTTACTTATCTAAAATAAACTCTAATGAAAAATTCTGTGTGCACATCATCCGGATTTCATATACCTCTTTTTCCTTTTTCATTTCCTCCCTTCTTCCCTTCCTCTATCCCTCCCAACCTCTCTACACTTCCGCTTTTCTCTTTATCATCATTCTCTCTTTCTCTTTTTTTCCGTCTCCCTTTAGCCATTTGTCTGACTGGACTATAAACTTTTACCCTCCATTTGAAAATATTTTATAAATTTTTTAAAACTCGAAGAAAAATTGATTACACTTTTTTTTATTTATTTATTTTGCTCAGGTGAAATAATTTTCACCTTTCGTTGGTCTTTTTTCTCGTTACCCGACCCGAGAAAGACGGGAAAGCAGTGAACGAAAAAAAAAAAAAAAAAACGAGGCGTTATTAAAACACGAAGTAATAAATAATAATAAATAATCCAAAATAATTATTTTCTTTTCGGCAAAAAAAAAAAAACGGAAAAAATATTTCGTGGCACTATTATAGTAAATTGACAATGTTTTGATAAAAGGTCATTAACCTTAATCCCGTAAATTAATTTTAATGCAGAAAGAAAAATTCACAATTATTGTATCGTGAGGGAGGGGGGAGTAAAAAGAAAAAAGTCGTGGAAATGGAATTTGAAACGACAAAAAAATTTTTTTTTATAACTCGCCTTATTTATTCACTCCGCCCTGTTAATTATTATTATTATTAACAATAACATAATTATTTTAAATGTGCATTAAATAGTTTCAGGCAAATTATCTACTTCCACGACGACTTGTTTTCAACCGTTTGGCGTACCATACATTTTTTGCATTACAATCAAAAGCACCATGATTTTACTATTAAAAATCGATTTAAAAAAGAAAAATTTATGAAAATAAGTCAACGACATTTTTGACGTGGCTTTAATATTATTTTTATTGATATATTTCTTCCTCTCCCTCCCCCCGAAAAAAAAAAACAAATTCGCATAACGTATCCAAATTAAAAAACTGAAAACAAAAAAAATATTTCATAATTTTTTCCTTTTTTTTTTTTTTAAAAAAAAGAATTCCCTTCCTTTATTTTACCTTTTCTAATTACACGTCACGTTGACTCTAAAAATTTTTTAAACGTGACGAATAATTTACATTTGTTTCTTTTAAAAAAAAAAAAATTGACACGATCGATAATTTTGACCGTTGGTAAACCAAAAAAAAAAAAAAAAATCTCATATCACATACACAAATAAAACCTTTCGACGCTTTTTCTTACCTTTTCTGATCCTTTTTCGAATATTATCACCACCACCATCACCATCATCATCATCATCATCATCATCATCATCATCACCATTATTATTATTATTTACTCATGCGTATTCGTAAAAATTTTAACAACTTTAATATAATAGGAAAAAAGTAAAAAAAATTACCTTCCGTGTTGAGGTCCGACACTTGCCGAATCGTAAAAAGAACTTGCAGTTATATCCTTATCTGGAATTAATCTGGATTCCATTCCCAAAGGTTTGTTGCATTCAATTTCTGGAAGAGAAAAAAAAAAAAAGGTTATAATTTTTTTAATACGATGAGAATGAATGTAATTCAATTCAATCAATCATTCGAAACGTTTTTTTTTTTTTTTTTTTTCATAACTTCACGACCGTAAGTAAAATAATAATAATAATAATAATGATAATAATAAGTTTAGAATTGAGGGAGTATTTTTTTTAATTGAATTTAAAAAATTCATAGGATTTTTGGGGGAAAATTTTAAAACTGACTGCTGCCACGGGAATTCATTTTACTTAATTTCATTGCTCGAGGATAGGTCGAATGAAAACCTTTTGGGACAAATTTTTAACGGCTCACTAAATTTTCTCGGACTAAGAAAATAAACCAGGAAAAATTTTAAATTTTAATTTATTTCTGTTTTTTCCCCCTCCTTCCCCCAGCCCCTCCTTTTATTATTATTATTTTTCTTTATTTTCTTTTTTTTTTTGCGAGAGTAAATTAAAAAAAGAAGGAAAAGAGAGGGAGAGTGGGGTAGGAGAGGAAAAAAAATTTTTGGAAAAATTGAAAGAAATGCGATGAACATGACAAAAAAAAAAAAAATCAATTTCTAAAATGCTTTACCATGTGCAACTTTAAATTAAAAAAAAAAAAAAGTGTTTTATAGACTATATATATAGCGTCACGTATAGCGTTACTATAGCACTGATGACGTCAAGCTATAAAAAAAAAATTTTTGAATGTTTTTTTTCAGTTATTCAAAAAAAAAATTTCTTTCCGATAAATCAAAATTGAAAAAATAATAAATTCTCTTATTGTTATTATTATTATCGTTAATAATTATTAATTGTAAAAAGTTAATAAGTACTTATTAATGAGATTAATTAATTAATTAATTTATTTATTTATTTAATAAAATCTCTAAAAATAAAATCAAAAATATTGAATCAATAAAAAAATCAAATTTATTTATTTACAAAAGGAAACGAATTATTTTTATTACCGGATCAGGGAAGAAGAAGAAAAAAAAAGTGAGAAATAAAAAGAAATTGTTTTTTTTTTTTTTTTCCTTGTTCGTTTTATAAATTACGAAAACAAACAAACAAACAAACAAACAGAAATGAACAAACAATCCACCACGTGGTTTCTCATGATTCATTTGAGATCGCAAACGATTTTTATTCAAGGTTATTTTTTATAAAATTGATTTTCTTTTGTTTTTAAAACGGCGTCGAAGATTTTCTTCGTTTCTGGAAAGTGAAAAAAAATTGATGACGTCATGATTGAAAGCTGTCGTTTCGGAAACGTTTGAGGAAAAATCTCGTGGGCGGTGGATACGAGGTAGTTTTTTTTTTTTAAAAAAAAAAAACAAATTTAATGGTTAGAATTTGTTTCCAAAAAAAAAAAAAAAAAAAAACAGATCACGAAAAGATAAGTAGAGAGAGAGAGAGAGAGGAAAGAAAAAGAGAGATGGAAAGAAAGGAAGAGAAACACACAGAGAAAGAGAGAGAGACAAAGCAAGAGAAACACACACAGAGAGAGAGAAAGAGAGAAATTAAAATACTTAAATTGGGGGGAGGGGGGAAATAAAAAATAAAAATAAAGAAAATTATACCTGACATTAAAAACTGTCACAAATTATGAAAACTTTTCACAGAAAGTTTTTTTTTTTCCCCGTGTATTTTAAACTTTTTTAATAAATCATTTATTCATACGTTTAACTTATGAATTTATCATTCATTTTATAATTTTGAATTATTTATTTTAAAAATTTTCTCTTATACGAATCCGCATTTTTGTATCTTTCAAAAACAGATAATTTTAATTTTACTTCTCTAGTTCACTCTCTCTCTCTTTTTCTCTCTTTTCTTTCTTCGCATACGTTTGTTTTATCAATTCCTCTCTCTCTCTCACTCTCTCTTTCTTTTTCGATTTTTTTTTTTTACTTTCAGTTTCGCCTATCTTATTTCAAATAATAATTTTTCCCTCGACGACTTTTTTTTGGTTCGACACGATTCCTAATAAAAAATTTTAAAATAATTAAAATTAATTATTTATGAAAATAATAAAACTTTGACTGGAAATCATGGAGAATTTATACAAGCTACACAACTTCACATAAGAAAAAAAAAGGTTTGCTGGAGGAAGTGAAAAATCCTTCAGTAGTAAAAAAACCAGTACAAAAAATGCAAAGACCATCCGTCGACGTCTTGGAGGTATTTATAAGGCGCAGCTCCCCCCTCCCTCTCACCACTTTTTGCATTAAAAATTATACCAACTGTTGCGTTTTAAATATTCTGGAATAATTTTAATAAATGTACAAGATAAAAAAAATTTTTTTTTTCTTTTTCAGTACGGCGAATCCCTCAATAAAATGACTCAAACGTTCAAACGAAATTTTTTTTCCTTCTTCCGGTTTAAAACCTTGAAAAAATTTCTACATTCTTTTATCAAACGAACATCGACAAAGTTCGTATTAATAATTTTTATCGGTTTATTAATTTATCTCCTGCCACGAAAAAAAAATCATTTTCTTATTTTTTTTTGATTTTTTAAACGTAAAATAAAAAAAAAAAGTTTGAAAAGACGTGACGTTAATTTTTTTTTTTTGTTGTACTCTTACTAATATATTTTCCCTCTCTATTTTTTCTTTCTTTTTTTCCAGGCATTTGTTTTTGTTTTATTCTGTAGAAAAAAAAAAGATGAAAATTCAAATTTTTTGTTTTTTAGGGTAAAAAAAAAATATTTTTTTAAAATATTTCTTTAATTAAATTAATATTTTTTTATGCATTTTTAAGCTTCTTGTGGTTTTGACTTTACAAAAAAAAAAAAAAATAAATAAACAAAGGAAGAAAAAAATAAGGAAAAAGGAAAACAATGGAAAAAAAAAGTTAGAGGAAAAGAAAGAGGGAAATGAAGGAGGAGGCGGAGGAGGGAGGAGTGGGAAGGGAGGAGAAAAAAGAAACCGAAAAATAATTCTTTCATTTTCCACAAAAGCTTTTCCAAAAAAAAAAAAAATTTTTTTTCGTTGCTGTTGTCGTTGTTGCTGGAAGCAAACAACAACAACAACAACTCCAAGTATAAAAAGTAAACTTTTCCATAGGACGCCGGTATAATTACGCACGACACTTGAATGACGTCGACGACGTCATCGTCGTCATCATCGTCGTCGTCGTGGCGCCTTTTTTCAACCTTTTTCTCCTCGCTACAAATTTTTTTTTTTTCATTTAATGCCCCCCCCCTCCCCGAAAAAAAAAAAACTTCTCTCACTTTTTTTTTTTTCTTTTCTCGATCACATCGCGATAAGTAACACGCGACTTTTATATGCGCTCCACCCCCCTTTTTTCCTTTTTTCTTGCTGTTCTTTTTTATTCGTTCCTTTTTTTCCATTTTTCTTTTCATTTTTCCTTTTTTTTTTTTTATTACGAAACGACAAAAGGCATATTGGTTAAGATTTTATTATTAACTTGCGGCAGCAGAATATATATATATATATATATATATAAAAAAAAATCTAAAAGACCAGACTTTTTTTTTTTTTTTAAATGAATGCGACTGATTTTATAGGGTCGTTAACAGAGAAAGAGAAAGAGAGAGAGAAAGAGAAAGAGAGAAATTTTTAAATTTTACGACTATTGGCTCCCCAACAAAGTTCAATTTAATTTTTTTTTTTTTTTTTATGTTACTAAATTGTTACAAAGGAAAAAATAGAATTAAAAAAAAAAAAACTATTTCCATTGAGTTTTTCCATTAATATTATTATTATTATTATTAGGTTTTTAATTGAATTTTCTTATATTCAATTTTTTGTTTTTATTTATGTTATCGACAATTTTTTCGTTATAATTTTTTCTTTTTTTTATGAAAAAAATAATAATAATAATGACAAAAAAATTTTTTTTTTTTTTTTTTTATTTTCAATTTTTTTTTGCTAACGGCTGCTGCGTTGCCAACTATCGAAAGAGAGAGAGAGAGAAAAACGTAACCGTTTTCATTTTCATTTCTCGATAATCGCGTTCTATTAAAATACAATTTCGAAGTTATTCGAACGTGGCACACGATAATTAACCGATATTTTATTGATTTATCGATTTTTTTCTTCCTTTTTTTTATTATTTTATTTTATTTAAATGCGAAAAATAATTACGAAAAAAAGAAGAAAAGAAAAAAATGTCGACGTGTCATCTGTTGACTGTTGTTCAATTTAAATCTCGTTTCATTTTTTTTTTTTTAGAGAAAAAAAAATTTATTTTATTTCTTCATTTTTAAAAAATATATATATATTATTTACATAAGAGAGATTTAAAAAATATTAGTTACACGACGACGACGTTTACGTTTATCTCGAGGCACGATAAAAATTTATACATAATTAAAAATTTAAAAAAAATTTTTTTTTTACTCTCGGTCATCACGTTAAAAAGAAAAAAAGATGAAAGATAAAAATCTCCATCTTTTATTCGATATCAAACGAAGTAACGAACTAAAGAACGCGGGATGAGAAAACAACAACAACAACCACAACAAACAACATCCAACTTGTTGTTGTTTTAATCATTTCTTTATCGTGATTTTATTTTATCAACAAACAACTTTTTTCCTTTTTTATTAATTTTAAAACAAACTCGCGCGCGCGAAAAAAAAAAAAAAACGATTCGATATAAAAACCTTTAATTATGATAATTTTAGTTATTTTTTTTTTTTTTAGTTATCAATAACAAACAACAACAAAACAAAACAACCGCGAAGAAGAAGTTGTTGTTCTTGTTCTCGTTGTTCACGTTATTTACGTGAACATTCGTACGTAATTATATCAAAATAATAATAATTATTTTAATGTACAGAAAAAAGAAAAAATTGTGGGGAGGGAGAAGGGTGAAGTGGGGGGTTGGGGAGAGAACTGATTGAATATTTAATACCTCGCCTGTAATAATATATTATTATCAATAATATATATGGAAAAAAAAGTAATTTTAAAATATTATACGCATCTCTCTCTCTCTCCCTCTCTCGCTCTCTCTATCTCTCGTTTGTTTGTTACGATTCAGAATATCCAACATCAAAAAAAAAAAAAAAAAAAAAAAGAAAAGTTTCAAGGAGGAGAAAGCACATGTTATTCATCTTATTACTTTTTTTTTTTTTATATGAAAAACTTTGAATAAAGCTTCTACCGAGATTTAAAAAAAAAAAAAAAAAAAAACTTTATAAGAAAACCACACGTAGAAATTCAAAAAGTGGAATTATTTATTTGTATTCAAAAAAAAAAAAAAAAAAAAAAAGGATGAGAAAGA